GGAATACCGTTTGTTCTATCCTAGTATGAGGGGAATACCGTTTGTTCTATCCCAGTATGAGAGGAATACCGTTTGTTCTATCCCAGTATGAGAGGAATACCGTTTGTTCTATCCTAGTATGAAAGGAATACCGTTTGTTCTATCCTAGTACGAGGGGAATACCGTTTGTTCTATCCTAGTATGAGGGGAATACCGTTTGTTCTATCCCAGTATGAGAGGAATACCGTTTGTTCTATCCCAGTATGAAAGGAATACCGTTTGTTCTATCCCAGTATGAAAGGAATACCGTTTGTTCTATCCTAGTACGAGGGGAATACCGTTTGTTCTATCCTAGTACGAGGGGAATACCGTTTGTTCTATCATAGTATGAGGGGAATACCGTTTGTTCTATCCTAGTACGAGGGGAATACCGTTTGTTCTATCCTAGTATGAGGGGAATCCCGTTTGTTCTATCCCAGTATGAGAGGAATACCGATTGTACTATCCCAGTATGAGAGGAATACCGTTTGTTCTACCCCAGTATGAGAGGAATACCGTGTGTTATATCCCAGTATGAGAGGAATACTGTTTGTTCTATCCCAGTATGAGAGGAATACCGATTGTACTATCCCAGTATGAGAGGAATACCGTTTGTTCTATCCTAGTATGAAAGGAATACCGTTTGTTCCATCCTAGTACGAGGGGAATACCGTTTGTTCTATCATAGTATGAGGGGAATACCGTTTGTTCTATCCCAGTATGACAGGAATACCGTTTGTTCTATCCTAGTATGAAAGGAATACCGTTTGTTCTATCCCAGTATGACAGGAATACCGTTTGTTCTATCCTAGTATGAAAGGAATACCGTTTGTTCTATCCCAGTATGACAGGAATACCGTTTGTTCTATCCTAGTATGAGGGGAATACTGTTTGTTCTATCCCAGTATGAGGGGAATACCGTTTGTTTCATCCCCATGTCACCACCTTTTGTAATTTCTTCATATATAATTATGGACTATTTAACAAGATACAATCTCACTGGCCCTTCTCCAGCCAAGGAACATGTCTACTTTAGACAGACATGTATTGGTTGTTTACAATGAGGTCTGGGTATTTGACGCCACTGTACCCTGCATGTATAATTGAATGATCGTATTGGATTGTAGCCAGCCTGGCTCCCGTTAATGGCATACCAGGTATATACTGAACGGTTGGGATATCACGAAATCAATACATATGTTGTTTTTTTATGTAGGCAAATACATGTATAGGTAGAAATGTGTATCGAGGAAGTTACGGGTCCTGTAAATTATTCAATTGTCGTATATGACCTACCTGTGTATTAGGATATTACAAAGAGGGTAAAAAGGGGTATTAGATTACCCACACCTGTCCTCGACAGACTTACAAATAGCTTTATTTGGAGGTGTCCTTGTTAAAATCTTGCAATATGTAAAAAAAAAAATAAAAAAAAAAAAAAACTGTAGCTGAAGTGGTTACCATCACAGCCTTTCCCTTTGTCTACGATTGCATTGCGGACTTCCCCGCCCTACCTCTTGTTTTCATGGATCTACAGAACCAGGACACAACTGAAGATCCCCGTACAGGACATGCTCTGATTCTATGGCTGTCACGAGACTGCCATTATAAACACATACTGTGTCAATATGTAGAACATGGTTACCAACAGAGTAGCTACTGCCTACTTTAAAGGCTGAATCAATTACCGGTGTCAATTAGTGCATCGGTGTTAGCTTATTAGACGTTAATTTGGCATTGTCAGGTAGACTCGTTAAAACAAGGCAACCAAGACAAAGTAGACTGTACTGTACGCTGTGTTGTGATAGGTCGAGTCGTTCCATTCTGTGTTATTTATGTGGTATACATTTTGTCGTTAGTATTACTCCATAAATATCACTGAATAAGTAAAACTTCATTAGCATCACTTTATCAGTATTACTTAATTATTTTTACTTCACTGGTATTACTGCTTTATATTATTTCATTATTAGTGCTTCGTCAGTATTACTGCTGGAATAACACAAACATTCACACCCGACACATACACCACACACATTATATAACCTAGTACGTATCCCGATCGCTGATTCATGCTGTATACCACATACATTGATATCTCCGTCGTCTTACAGGTACGCACCAGGTACGGACCGACGTTAGGATACTAATATACATTAAAAGTGTCACGTTTCTTTTTATAGTTATTTTTTAACCGGAATCGAGCTTATTGAAATACACAGCTGTTGAGCAGGACATCAAATATACTCATTTGTTGAAATAATCATTGTTCGACTTTAGGCTCAACCAAAGATATTTGCTGTAATATTATAGCACGAGGCTGTTAAGAGATCGCCTATTCCAACAAACCACACGAAACGTAACAAAACAATGTATATGTTCTTAACTAGCCCAGGGACATGAGAACTTGTTACATCTACATTGGACCTTAACTAAGGTGTTCAGAGTAATTTTACATGTCCCTGTGATAACTATAGTAGTCATATGACATTTTAGAAATACACATGACCCGTTGACCTGGCGTTGTTTATCTGGCACACCACGTGATGTTTACACCTCGGATATTACATATTATCACGTGTAGATGTACGATGACACCTGGAAGATGGACTTGTATATGACAACAGAAACGATAAAACTCCGGACATTATAGCCTTCCTCTAGTCTTTTTTAACATTACAGAAGAAAACTGGTGTAGGCGTAGCATGAAATAAAATGCAGACCAATCAAGGGACCTTTCTGATAAAATTTATGATATCAAGTTAAAAGAATTCAAACTACAATATAATCCAGGACGTATTACAGTAGCCACAAATACTTTTTAAACAAAAACAACTGAAGTTTGGTTACCTGTGTGTAGTGTCACACTAAAACTACACAGGTCGTTAGACTCGTGTAAAAATTTAAAACAAAAATAAAACTACAAGTTGAGAACGGTGGAAATGAAATATTTAAAAAAAAATATTGAATGATGAAATGATGTTAAATAATACCATCGCCGCCGATGTCGCCTTCACCATACGTTTGCATTAAAACCATGAGGAAGTCAATATAATCATTGCCTACAATTAAAGATGCATTGTGTAAGTTGTTTTTGACTATTTAACACTCATCCCATTCTTATATCTAAAAAAGTAAAAAAGATTCCCATTCTTATATCTAAAACGGTAAACAAAAATCGTCAAATTATCAGACAACCGTTACTCAAAATATAGCATGAACACAGATAACGACACCAGTAGAACACTACGATTTTATAGGGTGCTATAATGAGACAGGTGATGTAATGTTTTACCCACTTGTTATTCAGCGTAGGGTGCTATTCCGTCTTTGCGTATTGCAGAGTTATCTTCTCTTGAGATCAGGTATTGATTGTTACGTCATTGGTTTGTGAGAGTAACGTCATCAATTTTTGAGAAAACGACGTAATTTTCTCACACAAACCAATGACGTAACAATCAATACCTGCTCACCAGAGAAGACAACTCTGCAATACGCAAAGACGGAATAGCAGCTGATCAAGGTCGTGTAGCAAATCGTTGTTATTCCACAATGAACCTGACAAGACTGAACGACATACAGAAAGTCAAGTCGTAGAAACGATAATCAAGTATGTGGAAGTCTAAACAGAAATTCATGAGCGTTTTTTTTATTATATATGATGCTTTAGCGATTCTTTATCATCAGTTATTTCGTCTCAGTTGAAATGTGAAATGCCAACGCTGATAGGAAGAGAACTGTCAGCAGGAGAAACCATATTGCTCGGAATATCTCGGGACTTTTCGTTGCACATCACACTATACGACGCCTTGTCAGACAGAAGCGTCTTCTTGTCGGTGATGGTCAATAATAGAGACAAAGAGGATCCAAAAAGAAAGAAGGCAGCTATTGCAGAAAGGAGAAGACTGTAAGGGAAACGGAAGGCGACTTTACTCATGTCGAAGTCAAAGGCGCTGCCGAGGAGGACACGTGACATGAGGATCAGTGCCACGCACTTTGCAGTTGCCACAGCGAGAAGAATACCTGAAGAGACAAACATAACAGTATCATTAAAATGTCCTTACCGTAGATTAAAAAATGGAAAGGGGGAGGGGAGGAGGAACGTGATGCTGACAATACCGTAGACAACCAGGGGAGACAATAGTGAGAGTGTCATTACCGTAGAAAACTATCATTCGTCATAGCAACTTCCGGTTCAAATATCCATTGAGGTGTTTCATGTTTTTAAAGTGATTTTATGTATTTATGTAGTAGGTGTTTAGAATATTCAGGAAACAATGTTTATCCCTTAACAAAGGCGATTAGTCTCTATTTTGAGCAATGAGAGTAATAAGTAAGTTACACAACTAGCGGCAGTAACTGTGTTAGGCTAGTTACATAAACAGCGGCAGTCACTATTGCAAGTAAGTTAACCGATTACTGTCAGTAGCATTCTGAAGGAAGTTAAACAACAAATGGCAGTAACTTTGTTAGGTCAATTACACAATTGCAGAAATGTTGTCACGAAACTTTGTAAGGTCAGTCACACAATCTGTATTCAATTGCCAGCGATAATATCATAATTTACGCTTATCAGTAATCAGTAAGGAACAGCGATAGGGGAAAAAGAAGCACGTTGATGAAAAGTATTAAGGGTCTGACGTCCCCGCTAGTAACGTACTTACGACGGCAACGAATCTCACGCTTCTGCGTAACTGTCTCTCGGAAGTACTTTACATCAACCTAACTCGAGTAGTGTGTATTTGTGAGTTCTTCCTTGGCAGTATGTCTCACTGAACTTCTTGCCGGAAGTATATATGAAGGCAATGGTCCCACATTTATTTCGGACCTACTTCCCCAGGGGTACATCACATTCACCTACCTATGTGCTAATGATGAATGCCTCTCTGAGATGTTCGTTCCTAGAAAAATACACTACTGACCTAGTCCGCTAAAACTGACAACAATCACACCTGCTTGTAGTTTGCTGGTAAATGAAGTGAGTCCAATGCCTCTCTGTGACTTACGTTACCCGGAAGTATGTCATAGTAACCTACCTGGTAGTAGTGTGGTGATGCCTCTCTGTGACTTACGTTACCCGGAAGTAAGTCATAGTAACCCTCCTGGTAGTAGTGGGTTGATGCCTCTCTGTGACTTCCGTTACCCGGAAGTACGTCATAGTAACCTACCTGGTAGGAGCGTGGTGATAAAGGCAGTGAGTCCCAAACATCTCCGGGACATACGTCCCCGGAAGTAACACATCGTCGTTACGAGTGAGATGACCAGACAGACCATTGAGACAGTTATCTCCACCTGGAACTCTGTAAAAGCGAACTTGGCGATTTCTGTGGACATAACAAAGTGACACATCTAGAATATGTACATGTTTGATAGCAATACAATTGTAGCTGAGGTAACCAGATAACCATCGAACGTAATTTTCTTATTTCAATTAAGTTTATCATAACCACAAAACATAAATTAAATTAGCTCAAATATTACTTACTAGACTTTTAATGTTGTATTATTTCTTATTTGTTTGTTTGTGGTTTTACATCCCCATAAGCCAGCTAAAGTCAAAGAAAGAGTTGGAATGTGAGATCAGGAAAGGAAAATGTTCCAAGTATCAATGTCCCCTACACAGAAGACACAGAAGGACCCCACCCATCCAATATGAAGGGGTCCATATTAGTCGCCTCTTTTGACAATCAGTGGGATATAGTAACCTTAGCCGTTCCCGACCATGCACAGGATTTAATATAACACCAGTCCTTCCTGGAAGTAGTGTGGTGACAAGGCTCATGTCTAAAACGTTTGGTTCAACATTTGAAATATTGTGTTTACTATTTTGATATGTATCAAACTGGGTATCCATGTTGTGTCTGAATGTCATATGGCTTCGTATTTGGTATTACTCTGTCTGTTTATGGCTGACAATAAATGTGGTACTTTAGTATACCTCCGAGATGGTCATATATCTTGTCCATATCCATGCCTTGTAGCGCTTCGTCAAAGTGTCTGGCAGCGTGTTTGGCATGTTGGTAAGAGTGGACGTCACAGTAGTTAGGAACACAGGCGCTGAAGTACCAGAGACCACACGACAACGTCACAGACGTTGGTATGGAGATGGTGACTGGCTCATAACGACGGACGGTTGTGTTCCCGACCGTTACGACAACCTCTTGTTCTGTCTGCACCTTCTTGTCCTTAGCAATACGGACGATGTACATGCCAGGAGTGCAGAAGGTAATACACACTAGCAGCAATGACACTGCTGTCATAATCAAGCCTAACTTCTGTGACCGCTTCATGGTGTCGACAATTCGTTTACAAGTGAACAACTCGGCTACATATGAGAGACAGCTGTATTAATACTAACATCGCTATCTCTATCCTATCCTAACCTGATAACAAAGCAGTTGTGCAATCCTCACCTTGTGATATTACAAATTACGAATACAGCAAAGTGGTTTTACCAGTCACATGTGCCCTGTTTGTTTAATGACTGGCTTTGATTTCATAGCTAGGACGCTTTATGGAACCTCGATAAAGTTAAGTATTTGTGTAATAATTTAAATAAAAGAAAATCTAGTTGGGAAAAGGATCCATAGCTGTCAGCTTTAATGTGAATGTTCGCACTAATGACATGGTCACAGAATGTAGGCTATCTTAATGGTGAACTGTCTAATAGATAAAAGGATTGATTATTTGGATATTTGGTATTTGCGGATAGGTTTCTGATTCTCCGAACAGTTCATCATTTTCCTGTTATCCAAAACTTATAAGATCGGAGAAACAAAACATTGATAACTAACGTATATATCAAATAGGATGAAAACGTTTTAGGTAACGTGTGAAAATTAAGGAAAGTCTAGATTTTATACTTGTATCTACATGTATCTAATCTCAGATTTCACAACAGCCCTCCTCCTATATCCATCTGTTTGTATATTTATTCTTCACCAGTCTTGACAACCGCCCTCTTTCGACGTCCGTCTGTCTGTATTCATGCTTCAGGAGTTTGGTTGGTTGGTTGAGTGGTTTTACGCCTGTCTGTCACTGACTAAAATATGTGTTTCGGCCGACGCTTCAGCAATTTTAACAACTCTAAACTGCTGAAGCATGAATACACAGATATACGGACATAGAAAGAGGCCGGTTGTACAGCAGTTTTGACAAATTTCCTCTTTATATGTCTGTCCGTTTGTGTGTTAATGCTTCAGCAGTGTTAACGACCGCCCTCTTTATACGTTAATCTGTCGGTGTATTTATGCTTCACCAGTTTTAACGACCGCCCTTTACGTGAATCTGTCGGTGTATTTATGCTTCACCAGTTTTAACGACCGCCCTCTTTATATGTGAATCTGTCGGTGTATTTATGCTTCACCAGTTTTAACGACCGCCCTCTTTATTTGAACTATCTCTCTGCTGTTTGGCAGCCCAACAGCTAGGGCCTTGTCGACAATAAGATCTGGCAACTGACAGTGTCGTCAGGGGGATTCCAACCGTCATCAGGCGTTTCGTTTCGACCTCTTAGGAGTTCCACGACGTCCTCAGACTGGCGGGTCAGCAGTGATTATCAGTCAATTACTGGTCTATCCCATCTGTACCTTAGCCAACATGATGCCCTCTCTTCAGTCTCAGCTATGGTCTTGATTGCAGATTTGAATCTTCCTCCCGTTATCCCCACTCTCTGGAGCAACTTCCAAACTGACTGTCAGTGTGGTGGTACCCTCTGGTACCAACCTCCTAAGGGAACAGCCAGGCATTCCATCTCCTCTGCCTACACTGCTCCAGAAGCTCTTGATAAATGGCAGCTTTCCTTTCGTGTGCTTCGTCGCAAGCCTCCTCCAAGGGTACTGTCAACACCACGAAGATGATTTTCTGGCGCTGGTTCACTAAGTAATTTTGTGTGGCTTGATGAAGCAGCAGGTCGGCCCTTTTCTCCAGTTCACACAAACTGTATGTGGGTGGGGTTCTTAATATATTATAAACGTTTGTCTGTCTTTGTACTCATGATAAAGGAAGCTTGAAAACACGGCATTTTTTATACGTCTGTCTGTCTGTCTGTGTATTCATGCTTCAGCAGATTTGAGTACCGTCGTCTTTATACGTCTGTCCCTCGGTGAATTCATGCTTCAGCAGATTTGACAACCGTCCTCTTTATACGTCTGTCTGTCGGTGAATTCATGCTTCAGTGTATTTGACAACCGTCCTCTTTATACGTCTGTCTGTCGGTGAAATTATGCTTCAGTAGATTTGACAACCGTCCTCTTTATACGTCTGTCTGTCGGTGAATTCATGCTTCAGCAGATTTGACAACCACCCTCCATATACGTCTGTATGTCTGCGTATTCATATTTCAGCAGTTGTGCCAAGCGCACTCTCTATACGCCAGTCTGTCTCTGTATTTATGCTTTGCCAATTTTTACAACAGCCCTCCTTATTCGTCCGTTTGTCTGTGTATTGTTGCCTCAGTAGTTGTGCCAACTACCCTCTTTATACATGACGCAGGTCCGTATGGCTGAGTATTTATGCTTTAACAGTTTTGACAACCGCCCTCTTTAGACGGCCATCTGTCTGTGTATCAATGCTTCACCAATTTTGACAACCTCCCTCTAAATACGTCCGTCTGTCTGAGTATTTATGCTGCACCAGTTTTGACAACCTCCCTCAATAAACGTCCGTATGTCTTTGTATTTATGCTACACAAAATTTGACAATCGCTATCTTTATACGTCCGTCTATCAGTGTATTTATGCTTCACCAATTGTGACAACCACCCTCTTTGTACTCCCCTCTGTCTGTGTATTAATGTGTAGCCAACCTCTTGTTACCTTGTCTGTCTTTGTATTTATGCTTCACCAATTTTGACAACCGCCCTCTAAATACGTCCGTCTGGTTGAGTATTTATGCTTCACCAATTTTGACAACCGCCCTCTTTAAACGTCCGTATGTCTTTGTATTTATGTTTCACAAATTTTGACAATCGCCTCTTTGAACGCCCCTCTGTCTGTGTATTTATGTCCAACCAATTTCTTTTTTAGCTTGTCTGTCTTTGTATTTATGCTTCGCCAATTTTGACAACCGCCCTCTTTATACGTCCGTATGTCTTCACCAATTTTGACAACTGCCCTCTTTATACGTCCGTCTGTCTGTGTGTTTATGTTTCAGTAGTTTTGACAACTACCCTTCTTATTCTTGTTTGTAGAGTGCAGTCACTTTGTCAGTTTCGTAATCAGTGCTAAGGTTTGATATTTTGTTGTGTCGCAAAAACGTTTAAGTCCTAGGCTATCTATGTAAGCTGCTGTGTGGATCCTAGTTTGTAGAGCCAGCAGTTTCTTCGTCAATGTTATTTTCGTATTGGGCTCTGTTTCTCCAAAACTACGACTGCAGGGCATACTTAACCTATAGTTCATGATGGGTATTATGGCTGAAGGTTGCTACAGATGCTGATTAGGTACTAGCGGTTCTTCTTAGGATGACTTAAGATTTTTGAAAATTTAGTTTGATATACATGCATTTAAAAGTTTGACAACGAAGTAACCATTTTACTGATTTAAAATTCTAAATAAAGTTTGAATTTGAAATATTGAAAATATGTGTCAAACTAAAATTTGACACTTCATTTAAGATTTTTAAGATAAAATGGCATTTTAGAAATTAAGACGAATTCCAAATTCAAAAGCTTTGCATTAAGCTTAGCTTTTAAAAGTAAACCCTTGACCAATTTAACTTTCACCATTGATTTATCCTGGCAGTTGGTCTTATTTAAAGCAAAACATGCCGTTGTGTTCCTATTCAGTTTCTTTCAGCATTGGGCTTTATTGTCTCCTGCCTCATCATCAATGGCACATTCAGTGTGTTGCTCTTATTCACAAATTAATTAGTGTTGATGGAACCGTGCTAAATTCGATGCGTTCGCAACACGATAAACAAGAAAAATTCGAATATCTTTTTCAAGCCAGGTGGGAACACGTGTCACCTTTGTCCAAATCATTAGCGATTTTGAACTTGGATGAGAAATCGTGTTGCGAACGCAGCAATTTTAGCCCGGGTGTGTGGATGCGCTTTGAAATAACATATAAGCACTGTAGAGTTATCTCCCGATGGTGAACAAACTCACAACGACAGTTAAAAATAGAGTTTACGTCACGAGACTGTACAGGTGTGTAACACACCTAACCACACAGGTGATATACGGCTTGTATTTTCATCCGGGCTCTATTATATCAGGCTTCCATATTTACATAAATAAGGAAGTAGCTAGATTTTCAGAACGGTCAATACATAGACAGTTTATAGTGGACAGCTGTGACATGGCGATACTACGGCGTCACAAGGTGCTTCTAGGGTTGTCGGTGATTGGGGTGATACTCCTCATCGGCGCATTCACAAGCCCAGGGTGGTTCCGAATTCGTTACGTCTCCACGGGGCCGGGAGATGGCTGGGAGAATCACCTATCGGGAAAAGGACCTATCGCCATGACCAAGAGAGAGAGCGATCCCGAGAGACGTCGCCAACATCAGAGAGACTCGGAGGTTCCTCCCCTCGAGGATAAGTTTGTTTATATTTCCGCAGGGTTGTGGTACTTTATGACATGTGTCGAGTATGTCGGAGACGACTGGAATACAATCGAGAAGTGTCACTACAGTACCTACTGTCATGCTAGCCATGCCGCGGACCATCTCCCGGAGGTGATGCGCGGGGTCGGACTCGAGTCCGTCTACATGAATATAGGCGGTAAGCTGTCCTTTTTCTATTCTTTTTTTTTAATATATAGTTTGTACTACTCTCTAAGACATAGTTGTGGTAACTACGAGCTCAGGAGTAAGATCGATGATTTTCTTACATTTATTTTGAATAAAATATATATATAGCATGTTATAGGTCCAGATGACTTAACAGTACTCGCATATAAACTTTTTAGATATGATGACTGTTCGTCTACAATTAAACATGTATTGCCCTTACTGAATGGAAACACGATTATTTGTTAATTTGTTCAATCAATCATTTTAACCATCATCCCCGTGTAAACAGTGCCTTGTCCCCGTGTTAACATCATCCCCGTGTAAACAGTGCCTTGTCACCGTGTAAACCTCATCCCCGTGTAAATAGTGCCTTGTCCCCTTGTAAACAGTGGCTTGTCACCGTGTAAACATCGTCCCCGTGTAAACAGTGCCTTGTCCCCGTGTAAACATCATCACCGTATAAACAGTGCCTTGTCCCCGTGTTAACATCATCACCGTATAAACAGTGCCTTGTCCCCGTGTTAACATCATCCCCGTATAAACAGTGCCTTGTCCCCGTGTTAACATCATCACCGTATAAACAGTGCCTTGTCCCCGTGTTAACATCATCACCGTATAAACAGTGCCTTGTCCCCGTGTTAACATCATCCCCGTGTAAACAGTGCCTTGTCCCCGTTTTAACATCATCCCCGTGTAAACAGTGCATTGTCCCCGTGTTAATATCCTCCCCGTGTAAACAGTGCATTGTCCCCGTGTAAACATCATCCCCGTGTAAAATGTGTCTTGTCCCCGTGTATACAGTGCCTTTCCCCCGTATTAACAGTGCCTTGTCTCCATGTAAACATCATCCCCGTTTAAACAGTGCCTTGTCCCTATGTTAACAACATCCCCGTGTAAACAGCGCCTTGTCCCCGTGTTAAAAACAGTGGCTTGTCACCGTGTTAACAGTGCCTTGTCTCCGTGGAAACAGTGCATTGGCTCCGTGTAAACAGTGCATCATCCCCGTGTAAAATGTCCCTTGTCCCCGTGTAAAAATCATCCCCGTGAAAACCGTGACTTTTCCCCGTGTAAACATGATCCCCGTGTAAACAGTTCCTTGTCCCCATGTAAAAATCATCCCCGTGAAAACAGTGACTTGTACCCGAGTAAACATCATCCCCGTTTAAACAGTGCCTTGTCACCATGTAAACATCATCCCCTTGAAAACAGTGACTTGTACCCGAGTAAACATCATCCCCGTATAAACAGTGCATTGTCCATGTAAACATCATCCCCTTTAAACAGTGCTTTTTCCCTGTGCAAACATCATCCCCGTGTACACAGTGCATTGTCCCCGTGATAACAGGGCCTTGTCCCCGTGTAAGCAATGCCTTGTCTCCGTGTACACAGTGCCTTGTCCCCGTTTTAACATCGTCCCCGTGTAAACAGAGCCTGGTCCCCATGTAAACATCATCCCCTTTAAACAGTGCTTTTTCCCTGTGCAAACATCATCCCCGGGTAAAATGTGTCTTGTCCCCGTGTATACAGTGCCTTTCCCCCGTATTAACAGTGCCTTGTCTCCATGTACACAGTGCCTTGTCCGTGTAAACAGTGCATCATCCCCGTGTAAAATGTCCCTTGTCCCCGTGTAAACGTCATCCCCGTGTAAACAATGCCTTGTCATCGTGCAAACCTCATCCCCGTCTAAACAGTGCCTTGTCACATCCCCGTGTAAACAGAGCATTGTCCCCGTGTAAAAATCATCCCCGTGAAAACAGTGACTTGTCCCCGTGGAAACATCATCCCCGTGTAGACAGTGCCTTGTCCCCGGGTAAACATCATCCCCGTTTAAACAGTGCCTTGTCATCGTGTAAACCTCATCCCCGTCTAAACAGTGCCTTGTCATCGTGTAAACCTCATCCCCGTCTAAACAGTGCCTTGTCATCGTGTAAACCTCATCCCCGTCTAAACAGTGCCTTGTCATCGTGTAAACATCATCCCCATGTAAACATTGCCTTGTCCCCGTGTAAAGTGCCTTGTCTCCGTGAAAACAGTGCTTTGTCCCCGTGTAAACAATGCCTTGTCCCCGTGCAAACACCATCCTCGTGTAAACTGTGTCTTGTCCCCGTGTATACAGTGCCTTTCCTGCCTGAGTGTCATCCCCGTGTAAACAGCGCCTTGTCCCCTTGTAAACAGTGCCTTGTACCCGTGTAAGCAATGCCTTGTCTCCGTGTACACAGTCCCTTGTCTCCGTGTAACCAGTGTTTTGTCCCCGTGTTAACATAATCCCCGTGTAAACATTGCCTTGTCTCCATGTAAACATCATCCCCGGGTAAAATGTGTCTTGTCCCCGTGTATACAGTGCCTTTCCCCCGTAATAACAGTGCCTTTCCCCCGTAATAACAGTGCCGTGTCTCCGTGTAAACAGTCTTGTCCCCATGTAAACATCATCCCCTTTAAACAGTGCTTTTTCCCTGTGCAAACATCATCCCCTGTAAACAGTGTTTTGTCCCTGTGTAAACATGATCCCCGTGCAAACAATGCCTTGTCCCCGTGCAAATTCCATCCCCTGTAAACAGTGTTTTGTCCCCGTGTCTTGTCCCCGTTTTAACATCGTCCCCGTGTAAACAGAGCATTGTCCCCGTGTAAACACCATCCCCGTGTAAATAGTGCCTTGTCTCCGTGAAAACAGTGCTTTGTCCCTATGTAAACATCATCCCCGGGTAAAATGTGTCTTGTCCCTGTGTAAACAGTGCCTTGTCATCGTGTAATGTCCCTGTGTAAACATCATCCTCGTGTTAAGTGCATTGTCCCCGTGTAAACAATGCCTTGTCCCCGTGCAAACATCATCCCCTTGAAAACAGTGACTTGTACCCGAGTAAACATCATCCCCGTGTAAGCAGTGCATTGTCCCCGTGATAACAGTGTCTTGTCCCCGTGTATACAGTGCCTTTCCTGCCTGAGTGTCATCCCCGTGTAAACAGCGCATTGTCCCCGTGTTAATATCATCCCCCTGCAAACAGTGCCTTGTCCCCTAGTTAACAAAATCCCCGTGTAAACAGTTCCTTGTCCCCATGTAAAAATCATCCCCGTGAAAACCGTGACTTTTCCCCGTGTAAACATGATCCCCGTGTAAACAGTGTCTTGTCCCCATGTAAACAGTGCCTTGTACCCGTGTAAGCAATGCCTTGTCTCCGTGTACACAGTGCCTTGTCCCCGTTTTCCCATCATCCCCGTGTAAAGAGTGCCTTGTCCCCGTTTTAACATCGTCCCCGTGTAAACAGTGCTTTGTCCCTATGTAAACATCATCCCCGGGTAAACAGGGCCTTGTCCCCATGTAAAAATCATCCCCGTGAAAACCGTGACTTTTCCCCGTGTAAACATGATCCCCGTGCAAACAATGCCTTGTCCCCGTGCAAATTCCATCCCCTGTAAACAGTGTTTTGTCCCCGTGTCTTGTCCCCGTTTTAACATCGTCCCCGTGTAAACAGTGCCTTGTCCCCGTGCAAACATCATCCCCTGTAAACAGTGCCTTGTCCCTGTGTAAACATCATCCCCGTGTAAACAATGCCTTGTCCCCGTGCAAATACCATCCTCTGTAAACAGTGCCTTGTCCCCGTGTAAACATTATCCCCGTGTAAACAATGCCTTGCCCCCGTGTAAACAGTGCCTTGTCCCCTTGTTAACAGTGCATTGTCCTCGTTTAAACATCATCCCCGTGTGAACAGTGCCTTGTCCCCGAGTTAACATCATCCCCGTGTAAACAGTGCCTTGTCACCGTGTAAACATCATCCCCTTGTAAACAGTGCCTTGTCACCGTGTAAACATTATCCCCGTGAAAACAGTGCCTTGTCCCCGTGTAAACATCATCCCCCTGTAAACAGTGCCTTGCCCTATTGTAAACAGTGCCTTGTCCCCGTGTAAACAGTGCCTTGTCACCATGTAAACATCATCCCCGTGTAAACAGTGCCTTGTCACCGTGTAAACATCATCCCCATGTAAACAGTGCCTTGTCCCCGTGTAAACAGTGCCTTGTCCCCGTGTAAACAGTACCTTGTCACCGAGTTAACATCATCCCCGTGTAAACAGTGCCTTGTCATCGTGTAAACATCATCCCCCTATAACAATGCCTTGTCCCCGTGTAAACAGTGCCTTGTCACCGTGTAAACAGTGCCTTGTCACCATGTAAACATCATCCCCGTGTAAACAGTGCCTTGTCACCGTGTAAACATCATCCCCATGTAAACAGTGCCTTGTCCCCGAGTTAACATCATCCCCGTGTAAACAGTGCCTTGTCACCGTGTAAACATCATCCCCTTGTAAACAGTGCCTTGTCACCGTGTAAACATTATCCCCGTGAAAACAGTGCCTTGTCCCCGTGTAAACATCATCCCCCTGTAAACAGTGCCTTGCCCTATTGTAAACAGTGCCTTGTCCCCGTGTAAACAGTGCCTTGTCACCGTGTAAACAGTGCCTTGTCACCATGTAAACATCATCCCCGTGTAAACAGTGCCTTGTCACCGTGTAAACATCATCCCCATGTAAACAGTGCCTTGTCCCCGTGTAAACAGTGCCTTGTCCCCGTGTAAACAGTACCTTGTCACCGAGTTAACATCATCCCCGTGTAAACAGTGCCTTGTCATCGTGTAAACCTCATCCCCGTCTAAACAGTGCCTTGTCACCGTGTTAACAGTGCCTTGTCACCATGTAAACATCATCCCCGTGTAAACAGTGCCGTGTCCCCGTTTTAACATCATCCCCGTGTAAACAGTGCCTGGTCATCGTGTAAACATCATCCCCCGTGCAAACAGTGCCTTGTCCCCGTGCGAACATCATCCCCTGTAAACAGTGATTTGGCCCTGTGTAAACATCATCCCCGTGTAAACAATGCCTTGTCCCCGCGCAAATACCAACCTCTGTAAACAGTGCCTTGTCCCCGTGTAAACATCATCCTCGTGTTAACAGTGCCTTGTCACAGAGTTAACATCATCCCCGTGCAAACAGTGCCTTGTCCCCTTGTAAACAGTGCCTTGTCACCGTGTAAACATCATCCGCGTGTAAACAGTGCCTTGTCATCGTGTAACCATCATCCCCCTATAACAATGCCTTGTCCCCGTGTAAACAGTGCCTTGTCCCCTTGTAAACAGTGCCTTGTCACCGTGTTACCTTCATCCCCGTGTAAACAGTGCCTTGTCTCCGTGTAAACATCATCCCCGTGTAAACAATGCCTTGTCCCCGCGCAAATACCAACCTCTGTAAACAGTGCCTTGTCCCCGTGTAAACAGATCATCCCCGTGTAAACAGTGCCTTGTCTCCGTGTAAACATCATCCCCGTGTAAACAGTGCCTTGTCCTCGTGTAAACATCATCCCCATGTAAACAGTACCTTGTCACCGAGTTAGCATCATCCCCGTGTAAACAGTGCCTTGTAATCGTGTAAACATCATCCCCCTATAACAATGCCTTGTCCCCGTGTAAACAGTGCCTTGTCCCCATGTAAACAGTGCATTGTCCTCGTTTAAACATCCCCGTGTGAACAGTGCCTTGTCACCGTGTAAACATCATCCCCGTGTAAACAGTGCCTTGTCATCGTGTAAACATCATCCCCCTATAACAGTGCCTTGTCCCCGTGTAAATAGTGCCTTGTCCCCATGTAAACAGTGCATTGTCCTCGTTTAAACATCCCCGTGTGAACAGTGCCTTGTCACCGTGTAAACATCATCCCCGTGTAAACAGTGCCTTGTCATCGTGTAAACATCATCCCCCTATAACAGTGCCTTGTCCCCGTGTAAATAGTGCCTTGTCCCCGTGTAAACAGTGCATTGTCCTCGTTTAAACATCCCCGTGTGAACAGTGCCTTGTCACCGTGTAAACATCATCCCCGTGTTAACAATGCCTTGTCGCCGTGTAAACATCATCCCCGTGTAAATAGTGTCTTATCCCCGTGTAAAAATCATCCCCGTGTAAACAGTGCCTTGTCACCGTGTAAACAGTGCCTTGTCCCAGTGTCAACAGTGCCTTTCCCCGTGTTAATATCATCCCCGTGTAAACAGTGCCTTGTCCCCTTGTAAACATCAACGTAAACAGTGCCTTGTCGTTTTGTTAATATCAACCCAGTATTTTATTTTTATTTTATTTTATTGATTTCAATTCACACAGACCCAAGGGTTCAATTACAGAATTGATAACAAAGATAACAAAAGTATAATAAAATATCACAGATAAATACATAAAAACACTATTAAGAAAAGTGTAGCATGCATACAGAAGCATAATAATCATCTAAAATATACTGTCTTTAGGCAAGACTTAAAAGAAGGCAAGGTACAATCAGATATACAGTCAAGCTCACGGGCATTTCTGTTAAAGTTCTTACTGCACGATGAATAGTGCTAAATTTTCGGACATTAATCCTACTAGGTTGACAACTAAATTGTAAAATCCTAGTAGAACTTAGAAATTTCTCGGAACTAAAATAACGATATTTATTTTACTAAAAACGAACAGTCGAACAGCCCATGAATACATTTAAAAAGGAAGCAAATATCCAGATATTGTCCTCTGCTTTCCAAGGAGGCAGATTAAAATGTTTACATATATCAGAAATATATATAAATAAGAAAATAAAATCTTTGTACTGATTCTAGCTGGTGTATAAAAGTAGTTTGGTGCGGTGACCAGACCTTGCTGCAATACTATTATAAACAGTGCTTGTCCCCATGTAGAAAATACCCTGTTTTAAAATTAACAGAACGTATGTGATTAATTAATGTTACACACTAAAATTACTCTTATCTTTCTGGGGCTGTTGTGACGCTTTTATTTCAGGCGGTGACAAATGTTTGATAAATGTACGTTATTCTGAATTAGATACGTACATCAGTGGCACAGCTGCCATGCACGTTAATTCAAGGTGCGTTATGTTAGATTTAATGTGGTGCATTTACATATTCTAGACTGCATATATAAATATTAAGAAAATTTAAACTGTTTAAAGAAACTGCAATTTAAAAAAACCCAGACTATATACTCTTATTTATTTTTGAGGGGCGTAGATTGTCCGAATTCAACGTCTTCCATAGGGAGACGGGGGAAAATGCTCACCGGGTTAAATTAGTGTGTATTTCCCCTTAAGGTTTTCTTATATCCCAAAGCATTTCAACGTTCTTTTCAAAAAACGGATGAACAGACTATTTGCTTATTGCTACAACTGCACTGCTTAAAAAATGACAAGTCATGTCAGTTATCACATGGGGTATACTCAAGGTGGGTATCGCGCTCGCACCTATCTAGCGAGCGATTGGTTAACGTCCTTTCCAACGGATGACGTCCCTGTTTACTAAATCTTGGGGACTTTTTGTACTTGCTAGTTTTAGGAATATTGATTATTTCATTAGAGTCTTGGCTTTCACAGTTGATACCACTATATTATTTTATTGTTTCAAAATAAATATTCTGGTTTTGGCCAAACAGTAAATCAACAATCTTGACTGCTTGGTTTATTTACTTGGCTCAAACATGTAGTCGTTTACTAGCTGTTCATTTTTAACGTCGCACAGGTTAGACACTAAATATTAACTGCAAACATACATGTATTTCCTCTATGGCCTAGAAACCGATATCGGAAAGCAATCTACTTCCGTAAATCACGGATTTTATCGGTGTTCAGTTACACATGAACGTCCTTTGGATATTTTAACCAATATTGTGCGTCTTTGTTTCTAATGACGAGGAATGCTTTTTTGGATTTTTATTTCATTCAGACACGCGTTGGTGTGTAACAAGATATCACATGTAAACACAATTAACACGGCAGAATACAATTGATTACAATTTAGTGTTATATAGAAAACATTTGTAGTATTTAAGTATATAAACTTTTCTCAAGTTTTTCTGAGAAGCTTCCTTTGTACGTGTGACATAGCGTGAACATTACACTCTGAAACAAACCGCAAGTCTTAGCGATGCTTGAAAACTTAACAAAATGAAGTTTGACCATTATTTTCTTTATTTCCTCCTTTAAGAAGATTTTACAAACAGAATAGTGTAGTTCCAATGATAAATAAGATAATAAATGCAAAATCAAATAGATGGTAAGGCAAAATTATAGTGCACTACATAATTAGTTAACACAATAGGAATAGGTTAATCAATTTGAGTACAGTTTACAAAAGAATACATAATTAATAATGTTAAGAATGATATACACAAAAGTATTGAATAATCATTCGAGGTATGCATTAAGCATTTTTGAAATATGATTGACTGATGCCATACGGATTCAGTTCATACGTTATGTTGCCACCAATCAGTAGGTGAAATAATTCAAATCTCTTCGAAGCGCAAATTACGAATTCGATGCTGACAAAGTACACCAACCCATCGTCCTGTTTCTATAGGTTTGCTTTAATTTTGTTGAGCGTTCTATGCACACATTTCTATGGACACCTGTTAGTCTAATGTACGAAACTAAAACAACTATATGTTTTTGGTTTAATGTTGACGCTATCTTCAATTTGATATTTTGTTTTGAACATTGAATATGCTTGTCCTCTTGAAATCCCATATGTCATCATAGGCTCATTTTTAAATATCCTGTTTCTGCAATTTCAGAAATGGCCCGGTTCGGATTGCTGGAATTCCAGGTGGAGGGTGCTATTGGAATGTTTTGTGCTATTGTGGGGATGATCGCCGGCTTCTGGTATGTGCGTGGTCATTTCACAAAGAGAGGGGCCGGACTGACCACTTTCATCTTCCACATCATCGCAGGTAAATTCAACGTTTTATAATTAAAATTTGAGTTGAATTTGAAATGCATATTCAATTTAGTCGAAAAGGCGAATGTCCTCTTGAATTGACGTGGAGAGAGACTACAAATGCACGAGAATTGTCTTTCTCCAATCCGTTTAAAAAATCCTTTTTCCGGCGACATCATTCCGTCTTTAATGAACATGTAGTGTTAATAACAACGACAAAAACAATATTAAACAAATAGTTACTGGAATACTGACCAGTTATAAAATATTCCTGTAAAATGCACCTCACTGATGGTATATTTTTGATGTAACATGTAAAACCTGCCACACTGATGTTATAATTGTGTTGTTCCTGTAAAACCTGCCTCACTGATGTTATAATTGTGTTGTTCCTGTAAAACCTGCCTCACTGATGTTATAATTGTGTTGTTCCTGTAAAACCTGCCTCACTGATGTTATAATTGTGTTGTTCCTGTAAAACCTGCCTCACTGATGCTATAATTGTGTTGATATAGGTGTGCTGTTCCTGTAAAACCTGCCTCACTGATGTTATAATTGTGTGTTACAGGTGTGCTGTTCCTGTAAAACCTGCCTCACTGATGTTATAATTTTATTGTTAGAGGTGTGCTGTTCCTGTAAAACCTGCCTATCTGATGTTATAATTGTGTTGTTACAGGTGTGCTGTTCCTGTAAAACCTGCCTTACTGATGTTATAATTGTGTTGTTACAGGAGTGCTGTTCCTGTAAAACCTGCCTCACTGATGCTATAATTGTGTTGATATAGGTGTGCTGTTCCTGTAAAACCTGCCTAACTGATGTTATAATTGTGTTGTTACAGGAGTGCTGTTCCTGTAAAACCTGCCTCACTGATGCTATAATTGTGTTGATATAGGTGTGCTGTTCCTGTAAAACCTGCCTCACTGATGTTATAATTGTGTTGTTACAGGTGTGCTGTTCCTGAAAAACCTGCCTCACTGATGTTATTATTGTGTTGTTACGGGTGTGCTGTTCCTGAAAAACCTGCCTCACTGATGTTATAATTTTATTGTTAGAGGTGTGCTGTTCCTGTAAAACCTGCCTATCTGATGTTATAATTTTGTTGTTACAGGTGTGCTGTTCCTGTAAAACCTGCCTCTCTGATGTTATAATTTTGTTGTTACAGGTGTGCTGTTCGCGGTGATATTCGGTAAGGTGATCACTATGTACAAGATGGCCATTATGACTGTGACACAGTTTTACGACTATGATACCGACTTTATCTACCTGTATATGGCGATACCTTACCCACTTCTGATCGTGTCTCTTGGCTCTGTTATTATACTCGGAGTCTCTCTCGTTTTCCTCATCATCCTCTCAAAAGGGCCACGCAAGCACATCGATCTGATCAAAGCCACAGGAAAAGGACCGGGTGTGCCTTTCGGAATGATATCCCCACCCGGATACCAGCCATTTCCTGGCCATGCCGACCTCCCACCAACCAAGGAGAACGGTCCACTCCCGGAGAAAGAGCCTTTATAAGCCGTTTAAAACGAACAGTCTCTACAATGTACATGTTGTACTATGTTGATATATGTAAAGAGTAAATGATCTATAATAATGATCTGAATGAAACATGTTGGTTACTTAAAGATTTGAATATTACTTGACACTATTGTTTAATATCTTGGATGAAATTCCACCACGTTTCAAATGCAAACCTTTATAGACTGGAGTATTGTCCACATGAACAGGATTTGTCTCCCTTGTATGGATGAGATATCAAATTAGATGCTATTATTTTCAATTTGAATATAAATTGCTGAACTGAACACGAAACAAATAGCAGAATATTTTTTTAGAAATAGAAGATGTTCAGCGGTATAGTCATGGTAGTCACCATAACGTTAACCTGACGGGAGACAAGTCCTGATGCTAGTGAGAAAACCTTTTCATAGAAAATTTACTTCATTTTACATTTTACAATTCTTTTCCGTAAAACAATCTTCATTTTTTGCTTTTCAATTAGTATTGTCTTATTGTCGTATTGATAAAAAAAATACATGTGTACATGTATGTAAATTGATCTTCTAAAAACAAACAAAAATGCATAGGAATATTTTTCGAACATAATTTATTTCATAAAAATGCTTTTTCTAATTCATTTTTATATGGACGTTTTTTAAGGCAATTTTCAGAAAAAAAACCTATAGAATAAAACAGTTTCTATAAATTTCGTGTTTTTGTTTTATCATTACACTGTCGGAGTTACTTCCCTTGCACCTGTAAGGCAGTTTCTACTGACACGATTTATGACATTTTACCAGTAAAATATTAGGACATATCATTTTTTCACTGAAGCCAAAAACACCAATTATATATTTAATATGTTAACTGTTCAGAAAGCTTGAAACATGCAGTTTGGCATCGTCCTTGATTGTGATGTCATTTATATTTTCTGTTGTACTAAATATTGCCTGAAATTGGCCTCCTGAACCAAAAAGACCCGGTATACATGTAATATGTGACCAATAGGTTGTCCGTCCACGACTTAAAACATAACTGATGTTTATTCAAAAAACAAACAATGCAGATTGCATTTATCATATTTTCAACAGGCAAACATACATAGATTTGACAAAAGTCACTTTGTAAAATATCGCATTGAAAGCACACCTTCGCTTATATAATTTCAATTGTTATTTTCACATATTGCTCTCTGACCGGTTAATTAACTGAAAAATGCCAACGGTAATAATGAAAAAAAATCAACAATAACAGAAATGGAAGACTTCAAACATGATATCAATTAATCAATTAATCTTCTGGTTCCGGTTGAGATGAGGGTCTAAATGAGTCTGCAAAGATACACATTGAGAATGTTTGATTTGATTCTACGACAACAAGTTACCACTGCGCTGATTTTGTTTTGAAAATCACTTGTGACCACTGCTTAAAGGCGTTCAATGTAATATTAAGAAATCTATGTGATTTTATTAACTTATCATTTAACGGTATATATAACACACTCTCTAAGGGTAATACTGGATTAACATTTTTAGTTGTGTACTCACAAAATTTTCTAATTCATTACTCGATAGATCGTGTATTTTACTTCGCCCAAATCAAAGAGGTCCATTTGAAACAGGACGGAACCTTGGATGATAACCGATATCTTTAAAAAAAATCAAGAAAGAAGACAGTTTATACACAAAGTCTGTCGGAGATCGTCAAAGAATCGAGTTTACCTATAACAAAGGCAACTGTACAAATATACCAAAGCCAATGAAACCATATCATGACTGATTGAAACACAATGAACTGTCTTTGCATTTGCAGAAACAGGAAGTATTCTGTTAAGATCGAAAAGAACACTTGTTTTGAACATTGTTTTGATGGCATTGCTGCAAAACTGAGATAAACATTCGTGTGAATTATCTGAGTATTGTATTAGATTTCTCTCGGACGAATCTATTTCCAATAATACTTTTATGACGAAAGTCAACCAGGGGTTGTATGCAGTAAAAGCAAACGTTGAACTGGAATGACACAGAAGTTGAAGATCGAGAGAGAGGAAGAAAGAATTACATAGCCGAACATGTAGGGAGACGGGTGACAAGGGGGGATAGAACGTTAAGTGCAGTGTGGACGTTTCACTAACCCTGCTCAGAAAAAGTACACACTTGTAGTTAGGATATTTTGGTTAATTTCATATTGAGAGTCTAGGGATGGATATTGCAAGTATTTTCATATTGCAATACGTATGTTTCACAATATACTTATTTAGTACATTTATAATGACTTTACCGGTAGAAAGGTCAGCAATGCAAATAGCAAAATGCTTTAAGATAGTTTTGGAGGATATCACACCAAGCATGCTGCATTTCGATAAAACATACTTAATCTTAATGTCATTTCTGTACAATTATTTCATAACTTTGTTTAAACCCCCAAACAATAAATTGAAAACATATGACAATATATTGCCATTTCAAAATCATACTGCAATGTATATATTGCTAGACAAATATTGCCCACCCTAATTGAGACCACTGTAATTTTGTGCTGTGAGTTATTAGAAAACAAAATATGTTTATAGATGACACGAGAATCTATGAAAAGATGGATATATACCATATCAAATCCCATTTTAGAGTGTTATTAATTCCAATATAATTTTCTTCTGCTGCATTGTTCCGTAGAAGAAGTACAAGTCAGTATTATATTCTCGGCGAAAACAGTCATCCGGCTTAAGTGATGCTATGACAAAGTGATAAAAGTGATATTTAAATAGGATTATATCGCATATACCCTACCTACTTTCCATGAGAGTATGAAAAAAAAGTTGAGGACATATTCATCTAAGTCTTTTCTAGGTGTTAAGTGCAAGTCCACATGGAAGTTATTGTCTACGGGAGTACAGTTTGTGTTGCTCCATTTTATGTTCCATTAGAGCAGAAAATTCATCGCTATATTTTCTACTGCCTGTCCATATTATATTTTCAAAGTTGATCTTCAATCATGAAATTTTGCTAACTTGACTACTCAAACAAGTTGAGCGAATGACCCTATGATCGTCAAAAATTGAAAAAAACTGTACTGCTACGGAATTAAATGTCATCATTGGAAATATAGACCAGCTTTACGTGGATAGTTGAGAAAAGCCTGGATATGTCAAATAAAAAACGATCTTGTTAATCTTCTTTTAGATAACAGAATGATTTGCAAAGAACAAGTTGACCAAACATCCTATTCTGACTTAACATCATAGTGTATACATCAATGATACAAAGAAAAAATGTCGGCCATAACAATAATCTGAAGGATCTATGTCATTTTATATCAATTATCCATAAGGGCCAAGACAAGGAACAATGTAGGCATGTATCAGTGATCCAGAGAACCCAGGTCAACTGATGTCAATGATTCAGCAGAGACATACAGGCTGTATCAGCATATCCTTGATCTAAAGGAGTCACCCCAGTAATATTATTTATGCAAAGGTACATCAATTATCAAAATTTGTAAAGGAGTCATTAGCAACAGCATGAGATAAAACGTGTTCTCGCCTCAAACTCCATACGTCATTGATCGTTGGTTTGTCTTTTCTGTTTACGCGTTCTTTGGTTGACATCGCTGTGTTTCTATTCAAAGCATTTTTTGTGTTATTGTTATCTTAAAATGACACATGTTTTAAAAAATGTCTAATCTATAATAATTGACAAAGTTTCATTATCAATATTTCATAAATAAGAAACAAGCCTGACACCAAGTGTACGGCTCCGGCGTGTCTGTTGACCGGGAGATATGTTCATGCATTAAACAACTGTCTCGTGTGCGCTCTAAACGCCGCAAGGATATCCATCTGGTACACGTTCGGTGTTATGAATAATGAATTTCCCCGACTAATAAACGTGATGTCTATCTTCGTACGGAGATAAGTTAGTCGTGCAGACATGTGACCAGAATTACACGGTATCCATACTTAAGTGACCTGCTCGTCCCGATATATTCCATCCATTAAGCCTTGAACACATACTTTGAAGAGTCTCGAAATACACGTGCACATATTTTGATGACGTTTCCACCCGAGTCAGTATCGATGTGAACATAGTGTGATGACATCATTCATCACCTGACCTGGATATATTATTATTTATAGATCTAATTTCAAATTTTATGAAAATAAAACTTGTGTTGAATTTTATATATATTTATATGAAGTTCATACGATATTTCAAAAAAGGATATTAAGGCTTATATTTTGTGAAAATCATAACTGACATTACTATAGAATATATTAAAGAACTAGTTAGCTGACCCAGTCAATCAAGTTGTGTTCCATTGCCTATTGAGAGAATTCTGAAAGCCACAACGTAATTGAGGAGTGAAAGGTACAGAACATCAGTTGCACATTACAGCATTTTATCACAACAAATGTAGTACATACCTAAAACAATCAATCACTTCTGTGGTCTTTATCAGTAGAACTGAGGCTCACCAGGTGTTGACACCAACTGTAAACCTGGCAGAACCATCAAAAGACCATCAACCGCAAACCACCACTCGAATCACACACTCGAACATAAACTCTATGTGACACTATTTTTACCGAGCTGAACGAGTGTGCCTTAGCAGTATGAAGGAGAAAAGGTTAACAGCACACCAGTCGAGAATTTACTGTGGCTATTATTACAAACCCCTCAAACAGAGCCGAAAAGAAAATCAACAGCATAACTTCACAACAACAACAGTCGATCGTCAGGAAGGAATCATAGAGGTGTAAAGCCCCAGTCTTCATTCTTTACATTAAAGACAACTAGGCTCGCAACATTCAGTCGTTTGTTTGGTCTAACTATCAAACAGAAGCAGATTGCGGTAAATTCGAAGGAAAAGACTCCCAAAAAAACAATGAATAGCGAAGCGTGATCAAAACAATAATTCGAACTCAAAATCTATAAAACTAGGGAAAATAGGAACAAAGGATTTTTTTTACAAGGAGGCCATTAAAAAGGTACAGTGAAAATAAGACCATATGCTCCAAAAGAATGAGCGTCTTCCGGTTCATCGACGACACCTGTCATGTAAATCAAAGACGAATCCAATTAATTGACATCCTCACATTGAAAATTCGGGTAGTGAAAGCAAAACCAAAGTCGACCCTGTGTCAAACGCCACATGCCAGGACAGAACCACTCACCCAGTGAATGGAGGATGTATTGGGGAGATGGAGAAGAGCCTCAAGATCCGGTTTCTGGAATACCGACGTCCGAGCTCAACCTCAGTGACAGTAGTAGTTCAGCACAATTGACGAGGACCAAGCTCGTGCACTAGAGAGCGACACGGAATTCTAACAACACGGGTAACACTTGGCGAGTCCTACTGAGCAAAACCATAGTAGTTGTCGAAAGGTTTAGGTAAGGATGCTCACACAAAATCTGTATGAATGCATTGATGGAGAGATTATGCATTGGTAAGGATATGAATCACATTTTGCCAGACTGATTACTTTATATCAACATTAGGTTAAGATCAATATCTTAGATTTTCCGACTCACCAAATAATTATTGATGTAATAATTCTTTTTGGTAATGCTAATACTACTGTTTCATCTACTGGTAT